TATTATATAGTTAATGTCTGGGACCATGGTTTAGGAACTTTTGTGTGTTCATCTGCAGTAACACAAGAAAACCTTCTGAATACCCTTTGCCCTGCACAGTGCCTGGTATATGTCCAATAAAGGCCAGTTGGATCTGCACACTCAAAAGTAGGAGAATGTTGAATCTCTAGCATTCTTTGGGTCCTTAAACATCAGAAGAAGGTTAAGGAGGGTTCATAGGTGGATGAGGGCAGCAAAGATTCAAGATGGAAAGAAGTAAGTTCTTCTCCAATGGCAGATCATTCCCTAGTTATTGATTGGGAGGGCAAGTGAATGAAGATTTTTTTTTTTTTTTTGCTTTTAAAGTAATAAAAATTCATTGAGCACCAGCTGTATATCCTCACATATCCTCCATGTTTGGCATTAGAGAATCAAAAATGCATGGCAAGACCTCTTTTCCCAAGGACTTCATCTTTATAAACAATTATTGCCCAGAATAGGGTAGGGAAAGGCAGAGGGGGAGACAGACGTACATAGAAAACAGACAGGTAGATTAGTGGGGACAGGCCTTATCTCCCCCTTGCTTAAAATCCCCAGTAGTATACACCTACCCTTGAGATAAAATCACACCCTGAACCATGATGTGCCAGATTCTGCCTGACTCAGCCCTTTCCCATCTCTCTATCTTCATCTCCTGCCACACTGTCCCTTACTCACTTCATTTCTACCCACAGATATCATTTTTTGTTCTTGAACACAGAAAGTCCTTTCTCACCTCAAAGCCTGTGCCCTCAGATCTTTTCAAGACACCCTCTTTCGTGATCATTCAGGCCTCAGCTAAGTATCACTTCTTCTGGCCCATTTCACCATATTACCCTCTCCTCAGTCACTTCCTATGACAATGTTGTATTTCCCTCATAAAATATTTCACTGGGAAATTATCTTGTTTACTTCTTCACACAATTAGTCTGTTACCCTTTCCTTTGCTTCCACCCTCTCCCATGCATGAGAAGGGGGCTTCCAGAGAGCAGGGGAGTCTCTCAAGGCTTGGCCACTGCTTTGCCCTAGTGCCCATGACATGGCCTGGAGATGGCACCTAACAGACACTCATCAAATACGCACTGTCTCCAGGAAGATAAGAAAGGTTCACTAAGAAGTGTAACAGATGGGAAATTTCCTAAGAATAGGCAAGGCTGTTAGTGCCAGCACTGGGACTTTGGGCTGTCGGACATAGTGCAGGGTGGACTGTGAAGATAAGGATGGAAGAGGGAAGCAGCCTGAGGTCTTGGTTTGCCAGGAGTAAGACTTAAGAACCTAGACCCCACAGTCAGAGAACAGGTCTCAAACACCAGTGCCATTCCTTGTCAGGTATGTGACCCAGGCAATAACTTAACTCCCTGTTCCTCTGCTTCATTATTTTCAAAAGAACCAAGATGACATCCTCTCTTAATCAGGTTAATGTGAGCAACGAATTGGTCAGTGGGAAATGCCTGGTACACAGTTAGTACCTGGTACACAGTTAGCTAAGTACTTGTACTGCGCACTGGAAGGGAATCACTGAAGGGTTTGCAGAGTATGGTTACGCATTCATATATTGTGTTCTAGAAAGATCATCAGGCTGGAGGGGGCTGAGAAATCAGTGACTAAAACACTGTGTAGACAAGACAGACCAAGGCAAGGGAGCAGCAATGAGGACAGACTTGAGAGTTACTAAGGCAGTGAAGTTACTAAGGCTTTCACCCATCAATTGAGTGAAAGCAAGGATCCCATGGGTGGCTGGTGGTGCCCTTGATTCATACAGGAACTACAGAATGGGGGGCCAGGTTTGGGAGATAGGTGTTCTTCATGATCAATGGATGATGCTCAAATGCTTAGCATCATACTTAAAAGTACTTAATAAATGTTAGTGCTTAATAGTTAGGTAATATAATTTTTGCTTCTTAAGTAAATACTAGGAGAAGCATCTGTCTTGGCATTTTCTTTTAAACTATAAATAGAATTACTGGGGCACAAGGTGTATTACTTTTGAAAGACTTTAATTCATTTTGACAAACTGTTTTTCAAAAATGTTGTACCAATATGCATTCCCACAATAACCTGGGATTCTTTAAGAAGTCTGGGTTTGGTTTTGTTTTTAACAAATACCACTTCCAAAGTTGCAACAGTACAGAGAAAAGCCCTCTCCTATGTTAGTAATGGAAGTAACCATGAATTCCAGCTCCTTCCCTAGACATTGCCAGGTGCTTTGTTGTAGGGAAATCCCTCAATCCAAGTGTCTGATACTCATTAATATATTGTAATGAATATGCACACTGTACTCTTGAAATCATGATGGCGAATGAAATACAGACATTATATGCACAAATATTCCTTTGAGGTTTGGAGATAGAGAAATGAAGAGAATATTCTTAGCGAACAAAGAGTTCCATTGTACCAAAGCTGCATTATTCTAACAATATTTTCCCTCCAAAGGCTTTCTTTATCATGATCTATTGTTGCACCTGCATGGAAATTCCATTTCCTTTGAATCGATGTGTGATTTATGAGAAGGCACCGATTGCTGATCATATATGATTTTAACCCAGAATATACTAAAATTTCTTTTTAAAACATACATCAATAGAAGAAAAAGCCATTTTCACTGAAGAATGTGGTTTGGTCACTTCTGCATGTGCTCATGAACTCTTAGCCATTCACCTGCTTCGAATGCTTGTAACTGTATTTCTATTATTGACCATGCACAGTTGAGAAGCCTCGGGGTAATAGGACCCAGAGAAGCTGGTAGTATGTTCATTATCCTTCTCTGTGAACACTTGCCATGTGTTCATTAAACTCAGATTTGTATACTAAGGTGTAAGTGTACTTTTAAAGTAGTTTGTATCCGCTGTCTTTTCTAGAATCTTTATAAAGGAAACTGAGTTAACACTGTTCTTATCTGTGTGTTGCATTGAATCCAGTGTTTTGCATTCTCCAGAATCGTGTAGAGACCATTTAAGCAGGTGTCTTTCAGTACCAGCTCTTGACTTTTGTTCAGGGAATTATCTATCAAGGTTTGAATGATAATGCATAGCTTCTTTGGGGAAACTTCTTATACTTAAGGTACAGTCACTGTTCTCAGGGATTAATGAGAGGAAGCCACAATTTTTCAAAACAGGTTGGGAGTAACTTGAAGTGGAATTCTTTTTTGAGTAGAGAAGCAATAAGGATTGTTCATCTTTGGTAAACCATGATTGTTTTCTTCTAAAGAGCATCAGTTAGAGATGGCTCCATCAAAGAATGGATGGAGGGATATATTTCTGCTTCAAGGTGGACTTGGTAGTTTCAAAATGGTCTGCTTTTCTACTTGGCTTGTCATGAATGTCTAAAGGGAAACTGTTATGGTTATGGTGGGGAATTGGGTGGAGTATAATTCATGTCAATATATCTATTAGCTGTACCTTGTCGGCCATGTTAGCATACGATCAGTCCCTTTTCTAACTCCACATCCTCCAGTTTTTGTCTATAGCTATATTGACATGATTAGGTTCTTCCATTCATATCCATTCTTCTTTTACATACATTTATAGAATGTATGAAAATGTACTTCCCATTTGCATCTAATACCATCCTCCACCCCCCTTCTGAATCAGAGTATTATGTTTCTCCGAAGCTTTCCCTGACTTCCTCTCCTCCAGGACTTAGTTTTCTCTCCATTAATTGGTCACTCTTATTAATACAGAACTCAACACTGCACTGTACTACCTATATAGAATGTGAGTCAATCAGATCTCTAGTCTTCCTGGAGCTGTCAGTTATTACACTTAGGAGTTTACTTCCTGTCCATGAGCAATGTATAAGATGGACTCTCCAAAAGAAGATGAGAAAAAATCACATATATTATTCAACCATTTATCCCAAATGTCTTAAAATCCCAAGGATCCTGAGGTTTTTCGTCGGTTGGTTCCCTGGTTGGTTGGTTAGTTTTGTTTTTGCTTTTTGTTTCTGTTTTTATTCTTTATATTCCTGTGTCTGTTTCCATTGCACAAATTATGCTGTTAAACTATTTTTTGATTAAAAATAATAGAGGTTGGACCCAAATCTGTCTATAGTTTCAAGTTTCTCTAGAACTAAAAAAGAAAATGTCCCATACTTTCTAAAAATCAGCCATGTAATCCATTTCCAGCTATTATCAATTCATAGAATCCTAGAATTTTAGATTCAGGGCATATGGGGGAAGTATTAAAAACAAGCTAGTTAATATTTCTGTAAATGAATTTGATACAACTCCAGCTCACGGGGGGGGGGACTATTTCCTGATTAAAAAGTTAGGGAAACATTTCTTATCTTTTTCCTGAATATTCACAATGACAAGCCAACTGTAACTTCCCAAACTTATTGTACCATGGAGTCCTTTTTCCCCTATGCAATAGCTGTTAATATCTTGCATTCAGGAAATGAGTCCCTTCTCATCTTGAGGTCCAGAAAACTAAGCAAATTGCCCGAGATAACATAGTAATGACAGCCAGGATGTATCCCCACTGATGGTTGATAACGTCCCTCAGAACAGTATTGACAGCAAAGGCTTCAAAAAGATTTCAAGATTAGTTTTACTTGAAATTTAAAGAATTGCTTCTAAAGTACTGAGGATCCTAGCTTAATTTAGAGAGATTTATCTTTCAGCAGATGGAAAATGTGTCAATTGGCCCATTCAATTTAGTAGTACTCTTTATTCATATACATCAGAAATGGAACCTGAATACTATGCACAAGAACAAAATGCTCATGAGGCTCCCAGTCTGAGGGTGGAGAAGGCAGAACGCCAATAAGCAATTTAAAAAGTAGATATGTAATTACAAATTATGGTGTGTGCTATGAAGAAAATGAGCTGCGTAGTGTCAGACTGAACTTAAATTTGCAATCATTTTTTAATTGACCCACATTCAGAAGGGATCAATAGCAGCTGTTTTTATGGTTATCTCTGTGGTTAGTTCAAAACTACAATTTGAACCACGTGACAGCCTCTCCCCTTCTTGTCTTTCCAGCCCCTTGGAGCAAAATGAGAGCACAGTGAGCAGGCCCAGCCTCTCTCCCAGCCATCCACGACGCCCACCATGAACCACTTGGAGGGCTCCGCGGAGGTGGAGGTGACCGACGAGGCGGCAGGTGGGGAGGTCAACGAGTCAGTGGAGGCCGACCTGGAGCACCCCGAAGTGGAGGAGGAGCAGCAGCCGCCGCAGCAGCAGCAGCACTATGCGGGCCGCCACCCGCGCGGGCGTGTGGTCGAGGACCTCCGCGCGCAGCTTGGGCAGCAGGAGGAGGAGGAGCGCGGTGAGTGCCTGGCGCGCTCCGCCAGCACTGAGAGTGGCTTCCACAATCACACCGACACTGCCGAGGGCGACGTGATCACCGCGGCCCGCGACGGCTACGATGCGGAGCGCGCGCAGGACCCTGAGGACGAAAGTGCTTACGCGGTGCAGTACCGGCCGGAGGCCGAGGAGTACACGGAGCAGGCGGAGGCCGAGCACGCCGAGGCCACGCACCGCCGCGCGCTGCCCAACCACCTGCACTTTCACTCGCTGGAGCACGAGGAGGCCATGAACGCGGCCTACTCAGGCTACGTCTACACGCACCGGCTCTTCCACCGCGGCGAGGACGAGCCCTACGCGGAGCCCTACGCCGACTACGGCGGCCTGCAGGAGCACGTGTACGAGGAGATCGGGGACGCGCCCGAGCTGGACGCGCGCGACGGCCTGAGGCTCTACGAGCAGGAGCGCGACGAAGCGGCCGCCTACCGCCAGGAGGCCCTGGGCGCGCGGCTGCATCATTACGATGAGCGCTCCGACGGCGAGTCCGACAGCCCCGAGAAGGAGGCCGAGTTTGCGCCCTACCCGCGCATGGACAGTTACGAGCAGGAGGAGGACATCGATCAGATTGTGGCCGAAGTCAAGCAGAGCATGAGCTCTCAGAGCCTCGACAAGGCGTCAGAGGACATGCCCGAGGCCGAGCAGGACCTGGAGCGCGCCCCTACTCCCGGTGGGGGCCGTCCCGACAGCCCTGGTCTGCAGACACCTGCTGGGCAGCAGCGGGCAGCGAGCACCGCCGGTGGCGAGGCAGGGCAGCGGTACAGCAAGGAGAAGAGGGATGCCATCTCTTTGGCCATCAAAGACATCAAGGAGGCCATCGAGGAGGTGAAAACCAGGACCATCCGTTCGCCTTACACCCCTGACGAGCCCAAAGAGCCCATCTGGGTGATGCGCCAGGACATTAGCCCCACCAGGGACTGTGAAGACCAGAGGCCAGTGGATGGAGATGTAAGTCTGCGAGGGTTCTGGCTGGCTCAGTTCCGCGTGAGGAAGGGAGGGTAAATGGTAGCTCTGTGGCCTTGACCGTAATGGGAAAACGAGGTCATGGGATAAATGGGCTGTGCGAGTGCTAAGAACTCTTACATGGTAACCCTCAAACAGCTTGCACGCAAGCTCTGGTCAGTGAAGCAACACCCGGAGGGAGTTGGGGTTCCAAGCATTTATCAGATCCACAGCAGGATCGCTGTAAATCATTAGGTTCCAAACTGTACCTGAAGGATTTGTTGAGAATCAGATTCCTGGACACATGCCCCCACCATCCATTTGCTGATTCAGAAGTTCTGGGATGGGTCCAAGAATTTGCATTTCTAATAACAAATGAAAATCAAGGCTGGATTGAATACAGAGAAATTTTATTGGAAAGGATTATTGCAAAGGAGAGAAAAGGATGGCGTGAGGGGGCGGGGTGGTGAAGGGTATAGCAACAGGAGAATCTCCAACCTTAAGATCTGTAAACCTTTCTAGGATAAGACCAAAGGGTTTTGTTTTTGCAGGGAAGAGTAAGGCTAGAAAGAACAAGGTGTGAGGAAGTGGGATGAAAGAGTAGCCTAACTAAATGTAGATCAGAGAATAATTTTAACATGCTACCAGCCTATTTGGGGGAGGTGCTTATGCAGGCCAAAGTTGAGGCACCTGGGGGAAGGAAAGAAGCTTAACCAAAGTTAACAAGCATTTTATTCTAATTAATCAACAGTTCAGCTAATCATTTATTAGGCAAAGAATGGAAGTTTGGAGAGTTCGTGCCTGGCCTTGTCAACAAGAGTCATCTGAGAATCTTATCCAAGTCATTTAGGGAAGGGGGTTTCTTTGCTGTAAATTTTTTCCAGAACACACAATGACCGGAGGGGAGGTGGGTCTTAATCTTCCCTGTTTTCTAGGCAGGGCTCTTAGCTAAATATCAGCATGGTCACTAAAAAGGTCCCAGGTGATGCTGCTGATTCCAGAACCCCAACTGGGGAACCAGTGCCTTAAAGATATCCCTTAAAGATTTGGGTCAGGCATTATGGCCTCTTTGTTGGAAACCCTTCTGAGCCCTTTCTGGCCAGGGTTTCTGCAGGTGTGTGTGTTTCCCACTCTTTGCCTCGTTGTGGTTTTCAGTAAGTGCTAATTTCACTTCTGGTGGTACCTGGGCATCCTGCCCACCTCATAGAAGTCATGTTTTTTATTTAAAGCTAGATTTTTACTTCCCTGTGAAGACCTACACAAAGCTATTGTTGCCTCTATCAACATTTTATTTTCCATTCTTAAAATATCTAAGGAGTTTGATAATATGGCAAGCTTGGGTGTCACAATCTGTTCAAAATAAATCAAGAAGACTAACCTTTGCCCCTCTGCCTTGCTATAAAGATTCTTTCTGCTCCAACTCTCACTTTTCCATCCTCTTGGGTAATTTTTAAGCAGTTTCATTTAAAAATGGAGCTTGGAGTAAGAGAAGGGTCAAGAGGTTAAATTCAGTTTCATTTAATTCTGCATTTACGATTGTACCAGGCCGTTTCTCGGTATATCCTTTAGAGTGAAAAATTATTATTTTGTTATAAACATTATTATGTTCACTTTTTCTAATATATAAAGGTTTGTGCAGGCTACAGCAGTATCATTCACCTTTTGCTTTGGTCAAGTCAGTGTGTGCTGTCAGCTGATTACACTGCAAATCTAGCACCTTGTAAGTAAAGGTTGGAAACCCATAGGGAAGGCAACTGCATCCTCCCCAGCCAGGGGGCAGCATTGAGTAGGTTGAGACATGCCTAGCATCTCTTCTCTGTTTTGTAGGCTTCTGAGTCAGTTAAAAACTGGTGTGCTCACATGGAGCATTCTCCTTGACCTCCAGCTGTCTCTAGGTTTCTTACAGCTAGGAGAGATTGCAGCAAGCGTTTTGCAAATGAGGTGGAAATTGAGCAGATTTTCAAAAGTAAGGAGCTGGCAAGAGGCTGGGTTGCACATCCTTTTAGAAACTTGAAAACCATCAGAGAAGAAGCTGCAGAAGCATCTGGTCCAGGTGCTAGCCTCTCCTATAAGCTTCCTCAGTTGCACCAACTCCTTGAAATGACCTTAACCATGTGACCCCAGGAGCTTCATGCTGTGCCTCCAGCACAGCCTGTGTAGGATCTGAGACAGTTTTTATTCATTTGAACTAGGAAGACAACTTCACTGTCTTGCATGATGTTTCATTCTAAGCAGAATTAATTACAGAATGTTGAATGATGCTTTAGGAACCCATACATCAGAGAAAAAAAATTCAACTTGATGTTAAGAAATTGGTGAGTGGGCTCCCTGGGTTATGAATACTTAATATGAAGCAAAACCTAAAACCTGGGTTTTAAAATATTCCCCTTAAAAAAGCCATTTGAATTTGTGGGTTGTATTTCATCTGCCATTCCATATTTATAAGAAGGACCTTCATTTGCTAACCCTTTGATGGTGTTATTCCACCTCAGCATCAGAAAAATATTTACTGAATGCTCATTCCATGCACACTGATGTAGAAAATAGAAAGCCATCATGAAAAGCAGTGTGGTCTGATGTCTAGCTGGAAGGTACTTGTTAAAAATGCAAGTTACTGCTGGGCGCATTGGCGCATGCCTGTAATCCCAGCAGCTCCGGAGGCTGAGACAGGAGGATCATGAATTCAAAACCAGCCTCAGCAAAAATGAGGTGCTAAGAAACTCAGTGAGACCCTGGTCTCTAAATAAAATACAAAGTAGAGCCAGGGATGTGGCTCAGTGTGCAAGTGCCCCTGAATTCAATCCCCAGTACCCACTCCAAAAAAAAATGCATGTTACTACCCTTCCTTTCCAAACCTAAATACCTGAGATGGAGCCCAGTGATCTGTTTTTTGGTTTTGTTTTATAAATTCTCCCTGAGATTCCTGATTATGTGAAAGTTTGAGAACCACTCATTTAAAGGAGAGTGTTTTAGTCAGCTTTTTTGCTGCTGTGACTAAAGGACCCAACTAGCCCAATTATAGAGGAGTAAAAGTTTATTTGAGGGCTCACAGTTTCAGAGGTCTTATTCCATAGAAGGCCAGCTCCATTCCTCAGGACTCAAGATAAGGCTGAACATCATAGTGGGAGAAGGTGGTAGAGAAAAGCAGCTCACATCGTGGTGACCAGGAGGCAGAGAGAGAGAGACTCCACTTGCCAGATACAGATATGTACCCAAAGCCATGCGCCAATTCCTACCTCCTCCAGCCATATCCTATCACTTCAGTTACCACTCAGTTAATCCCTATCAGGGGATTAAATCACTGATTGGGTCAAGACTCTCTCAACCCAATCATTTTTCCTCTGAACCGCCTTGCATTGTCTCACACATGAGCTTTTGGGGTACAACTCACATCCAAACCATAACAGGGAGGGAAATTATCATCTGGGCAGTTATCCCACATAAGGTCTGTGAACTTGAGTTTTAAATCAGTTATTAGTAGCAAAGATAAAATTTTAACAAAAAGGGCTGACCCACAGTGGTTATGGTCAGCAGACCTGGAGAAGTGACTGTAGAATTCTTGTTGCAAAAGCTGTGCATTCTCAGAACGGCAAGTTCAGAAACTATAACGGAGCAAACAGAAGGTAATTAAGAATAGCTTTATTACCACTTACCAGAGATAATAGCTAAAAGTCAAGTCTGCTTTTAACACTACTTTTCTTTCCTTCTGAACTTCAGCCCTTTACACATGGAGCTGACTGGCATGTGTTTGCTGGTGAGTCATACAGAATGAGAAGATAGGATTGCTCATCTATAAGTTATTGAACTTGTAGATGTTTGTCACTGAATGGAAATACTTGTTTTCTAAAAATATGAAGGAAAATAATCTATGCTTTGAAAAACAACCTGCTTCCTAAAATTTTACTGCAAAACCAGTGAGTGAAAGCAAGCACTGACATGTGTTGCTTACAAACAGGAAGAGCAAAAACCATGTTTTCTTCTCTAGGTGCTAAAACCTAGAGCCTTTTGTTGAGATGGTGGTGTCACAAGATGGCAGCACCTCTCTGGCACAGTACAGGTCCTCTGGGTATCCTGCACACCCACAATGAGGGGACTCAGCTGTGTGAGACATGTACCAAGAGAGGAGGCAACCTTTGTTGTTTCAAGCCATGGGGATTTGGGAGGTGGTTTGTTACCATGGTGTAGCTGGTCAGTCCTGAATAATACACTATGAGGTTTCTGTTTCCTCTGTTCTACCAAATAATTGTGAGTATTTGTACTGTAGACTCCCTGGAGAGGCTTAGGAATCTATGAGATACCAGATACCTCAGGTGGCATGACTATGGGGATGTAGCTGAAAAAAATAAGAGGATTATTTTTTTTTGAAAGGCAGTCAGGGGAGGCATTAGACTTCCCCATGCCTTCTCCAGCCAGGGGTCTCTTCCTCCCCACAGGAGATCTGTGACTTCTATAAGGAAAGGGTAAACAAGAGGAGCATGACACTGGGGCTGCCAGCCACAGCTGAAAGTGGGAATGAGGTGCCTTGGGGAACACAGAGCCTTGCAGTGGGACTGCAAGAATGTCATAGAATTCTGTGTACAAGGAATGAAAGAACATTCTGCTGTCATGTGTAACTGATTAGAATGAATGAATGAATAAAAAAAAATGTCATAGAATTCTAAGTTGTCAGGCTTAGAACCACCCATCTGGAGCCCCCATCCCCCAGCAGATGAGAGTATTCCTCTCCAGGGAAATAGGTACAAGAGAAGGTCCCTGCAGAGAAGGATGCTGATGTCTGTGATTTCTTGGCCATCTGGATCCCCACCTGGTCTCCCTACAGTGAAGGCTCCTGCCACGAATGGATCTTCCAGTAGGGTTTTTGGGGACTCACTCTCAAAGATGAATGGACAGCCAAAGATCATCAGACATTTAAAGAATATCTCTTAACATGAAAGACATGTGGAAAAAGACACTTGGAGAAATAAAGGCAGTTCTCAGAGCATGCAAGGACTATAATAAATCTTTTA